GCTCTGAGCGGTGCTCCTGCGCTGCCCAGGGCCAGGGTCCCTTCCTGGCCTGCCTGGCAGTACAATGGTCAGGTGGGCCTTCACAGAGATGGCCAGCCCACTGGGCACCCGGCGGGGTCCCCGGTGCACCCTGTGCCCTGGGCTGTACCTTTGGCTCCAGGCTCACCCTCCTGTCACGGTTGAGGCCCAGCCGGGCAGCAAGCTGAGACCCTGCGGCTCCCTGTGGACATGGAGTGTCCAGTCGTGGGCTGCAGCTTGAAGACTTCGCCCTGGACAAGAAAAGAGGGGACTGGGTGTGGGGGCGCAGGTAGGGAGGGGCGTCAGTGTGAAGCTAGACACAGGTGGTGTGGGGCTCTGGAGGTGAGGACGGCCAGACTGCCCACCTGCCAGGGCCTCGGGGGCGAAGGGTGCAAATCCCCAGCCAGCAGCCAGGGCCTGGGTGGGGTGCAGGGTGCAAATCCCCGGCCAGCAGCCAGGGCCTGGGTGGGGTGCAGGGTGCAAATCCCCGGCCAGCAGCCAGGGCCTGGGGGGGGGGCGCAGGGTGCAAATCCCCGGCCAGCAGCCAGCCCACACTTGGGGCAGCCCGCGAGCCCCACCACTGTCCTGCCCACCGCCCACCACCCTCACTGCCACCGCCCCCCTGGCCGGCCCGGCCCTGCGGCTGCAGGCCGCCCGGGACAGCAGCCCCATGCTCCTAGGAAGCCCCCACTGGAGAGGTGTTAGCCACTCTCCCACGGCCCCAGGCCCAGCGCCTAAGCGTCCAGCTTCCAGGGGACAGTCCACAGCCTTGGTGGCAACAGGGTGGGCTCTGGGACCGCACAGGGCTGGCAGGTGACCGGGCAGGTGACCGGGCAGGTGACCGGGCTGAGCTCACACAGCCAGCAGAGGTGGACGGACTGGCTTTGGCTGAGCGGGGTCCAGGCCGGGGTCCAGTGGTGGCATGTCCACTTCCTGTCCAGGACCTGGTGGCTGCATGCTTGGGACAGGTCCTAAAGGAGCCATGACCAGGCCCGCCGGCCTTGGCCAGCCTGGGGAGCCCCACCCCCACGCAGTCCCCACTGCCCCGAGGACCTGTCTGTTTACAGGTGTGCAATAGCCTGTCTGTGGGGCAGGGAGTCGCTGATGGCCGAGACAGCCACAGAAAGCCAACCAGATGCCAGAGTGGTGCCAGCCCCGCGGGCAGCCCGGGGCCATGGCAGGCAAGCGCACGCCGCATTCCTCCACACCCTGTCCCCAAGACTGCCCGGTGCCTGACCCCGCTGGAGGACCCGCCGGAGCCACGTCCGGGCTGCGTGGCTCATCCTCTTCCCCGCGACTGAGTGGCCCTGAGGCTAGCTGGGGCAGGGGGGAGGCGGGCAGGGCTCAGGGCATTTCTCAGGCCTCCCCAGGCCTCTCCTGCTCCAGGAGGGCTGGGGCCTGGGGCAGGGGGCGGTCTCGACAGACCACAAGGAAGAGAGAGGCCTGCCGGGAGCTTTCCGGGCACTGGAGCGCACTGCGCCGCCCACCCATCCCCAGCTTGCCTGTCAACAGGGCGGCCCATGGCTCTGTGATGACACACTAGGGACAGTGCTGGGGAGCGACCCCCCTCTCCCCTGCTCTCAGTGAGCCCCAGAACATGGTGAGGAAGAGGTCGGCAGGCACAGTGGGGAAGGAGGGGCGGGTGTCTGGGCAGCCCCCCCTGGGATCCAAACGTAAGAGCCCAGACTCTAGCTGACAGCTCATGACATAATCCTAGCTATTGAGAAGGCTGAGATTGTGCTTCAAAATCAACCAGGGTAGAAAAGTCTGGTAGCCTCTATCTCCAAAATAATCGACAAAATATGGGCTGGAGGTATGGCTCAAGAGGAAGAGCACCAGCTGAGCAAGCAAGCTGAGCAAGCATGAGCGGCTGAGCACACTGCACCAGCAACAAAACAAGACAAGAAAAAACAGCCCTTTGTACTTCAAATAAGAAGGCGGAAAGCCGGGCGCCGGTGGCTCACGCCTGTAATCCTAGCTACTCAGGAGGCTGAGATCTGAGGATCACGGTTCAAAGCCAGCCTGGGCAGGAGAGACCGTGAGACTCCTATCTCCAATAAACCACCAGAAAACCGGAAGTGGCGCTGTAGCTCAAGTGGTAGAGTGCTCGCCTTGAGCTGAAGAGCTGAGGGACAATGCCCAGGCCCAGAGTTCAAGGCCCACGGCCGACCAAAAAAAAAAAAAAAAGAAGGTGGAGACTAGATTGAGAAAACATTGCAACGATTATCCAATAGAGGATGAAGATCCATTCATTAATAGACACAGCATTCCCAAGCCACAACCTTCACTCCAGCCAGTGGGTCGAACAGCCCAGGCGTCTGTTGGTGGAGGGTCAGTTGGTCTGGGGTCCGGGCAGCGCGGACCCCCTCGACAGGACGGTTACTGGCTGCTCAGAGGGGATGGGCGTAGCGCAGTTGGGACATGCAGAGCTGGACTCTGGTGCAATCTGCGGAACAATCAGCAAGCCGTTGAACAAAATGAATCCTGGAAGCAGAAACAAGTCTGGTCTGAGGGGGGAGGCAGAGGAGCAGAGAGACGGAGGGTGGGCGAAGACAGCCAGGAAACTCACTGTCCGTGTGGGAAGGTGGAACCAAGAAGCTTGGGGGGCGCGAGGGGGAGGCGGCAGCATAGCTCAAGATACATTGTACTCCTACATCCACATTGCTGTCCCTGTGGGTAATAAACATTAAGTTAAAATACATGTCCACGAACGAACAGAAGAGGAGGGAAATGCCAGCACGGCTGTGGCATCCTGCGTCTCGGGGTGCTGGGAGCGGCGGTCACAGATGACAAGCACTGGGTGCTGGTGTTTGCATGACAGTGCCCCAGACACAGACTGAGAAGGGTGGGTGCCCAGGCCGGGAGGGCTGGGCTCACTGGGGAGAGTGCGGGGGGACACGAGAAGGTCCGGGGTGGCCTCACACCTGAGCGTCCCTCATGCCACCAGCTCCCGCACCTGACAAGGCCTGCTGCGCGGGCCTGGACACCGGTCGCCTCCAGGCAGTGGGGCCCAGGCCGGCTCTGGTGTGCGCCCCGAGGCCTGGACTGAGGGCAGCTCCCGGCAGGGATGGCCGTCTGGAAGGGCTGACCGGCGGGGAGGGCAGTCATCTTTCTCTGGTCTCACTGGTCCGGGTGGGGGCATTCCTCCTCTTCAGAGCCACTCACAGAGGGGTGTGGCGAGCCGGCCGTGACGTACGGGCTTCCTGCTAGGCCACAGCGCCAGAGAACTCGGGATGATCCGGCCATGCACCTCAGAGCACAGTGCACCTTCAGAGCAACCCTGACTTACTTGGGCAACCCGTCTTTGCCGGCCTTCTGCCTGGCCGGCCGGCACACTAGCCGGGCAGGGACCGGGCCCCGCTGGTGGGAACGTGGGCTTGTCTTGGGCACTGAGCTTTGTGGTTGATCGCAGAGCCCAGGCTGCCCGCCTCAGCGCGGACTCGCTGTCCCCAGACAAGCGTCTGCCCAGGTGCGGCGGGCAGAGTCAGAGGGCAGGCAGGCGTCTGCCCAGGTGCGGCGGGCAGAGTCAGAGGACAGTGCACCTCAGCTGGCTCCTGGTCCCCCGTCCATGGCTTCCAGAAAGACAGTGTGTGTTCCTCAGGCCTGAAGCTCTGCGCCCACGCCGGGGCCAGAGCAGCCGGCAGGTGCCCTGGGGATGGGGCCCAGCCTGCCCGAGCGAGCAGTGTCTGCATGGAGCCCCGTGGAGGGCCTGCGTGAGGACTGTGATCTGAGGAGGTGACGGAAACGTCCGGGCTCTGGGGCCCACGAGGGAGGAGCCCCCACGATGCAGGCAGACATGGAGCACGCCAAGGAAGCTGAAGCCCCCGGAGCTGGACGAGGAGCTGCGTGCTCCTCGGGTGAAAGCCCCAGCTGGGCCTCGGGCCGCAGCCTCGGCCTGGCTGCAGGCCTCACACTCCCTGGGGTGAGCAGGCTGGCTGGCATCTGCACGGAGCCCAGGGACCGTGGACGCCAGCTCTGGGCAGCACCTGACCGGCCCCTGCAGGGCAGTGTGGCCTCTCGTCCACCCGGGATCCACCTGGGCGCTGCTCAGCAGACCATCCCCTCCTGCCCATGCACTGGGAATTCCTGGCATACAGGGTCTGTGGGCGTGTCCCCAGCCACGCAGTGGTGAGGAACCAACGCCAGCCCGCGAGCTCAGCCCAGCTCAGCGGCCGTGGCCCCACGGAGCCCGCCACGTCCAGGTAGGGCCACGTCCAGCTCCTCGCGTGTCCACTCCCGTGTGCAGCCCTGCACCCAGGACCCAGGGAGGCTGACGCCGCCCTGGCCTTCACCACCCACCAGAGGGGCTGGGAGGAGGACCAGGGCCCGGCCTGCCGGGAATCTGACGTGCACGGAGGCCGGGGAGCGCCAGGGCTGGCCACGTCCCGGGAGGGGGCTGACGCTGGTGGGCGCCCAGTGGGCACAGCGTCAGGCACGGCCTTCCCCAGGGCACAGAGCCCGGGGCTCGGGGTGCGCCGGCGTGGCTGGTCTCCAGGAGACAACCAAGAGAACGCAGGGCCAGCTTGCTAGGCCAGGGCGTGGCTGCCCAGCCCATAGGCCGCAGCAGGTGTCAGGGCGCCTCCCTCAGTACTCTGGGCCCCGGCGAGGGCAGCTGAGGGGGGTCTGAGGGCGCCAGGGCCAAGCCACTGCAGCCATGGAGGGGCAGAGAGGAAGGCAGCCCACGGGACCCGGGAGGCTCTAGGAGACGGAAGCTTGTTCTCAGAGCTGCACCTCGTGGAGGATTTCCACGCAGCAGGAAGCCCGTGCCCACCTCTCCCCCACCAGGTGGCCGTGACTCGGTAGAGGCCCCGGGGCCTGGGCAGGCTGCGGTGTCGTGTGCGGCCTCTCCCGGGTGTGTGCAAACACTCCAGCGGTGAGCTCCCTCTGCACACAGCCGGCCGCCAGCAGCGGCCAAGGGTCGGTGGGGGCGGCTCCCAGGGGCTGGCTGGGACGTGCAGGGCCCGAGCAAGGGCTGGGGGGCGGCAGGGCCCGGCAGGTGCGGGCTGGCGAGGCGGAGCCAGAAGTTGTTCTCCCCTCAGCTGCTCCGAGGCCAGGTGGGTGCCAGCCCCTCTCAGACAAGAGGCCAGCGGGGCAGTGGGCAACCTGAGGGTCCTAGGCAGGGTGGACGGCAGAGAGTCCTAGGCAGTGGACTCCCGGCCACCCTCTCAAAGCAGAGGCCAGGGAGCACAGGCCGGGCCTTAGGCTCCTTGCTTTCCAGGAAGCCTTAGAGAGCCCTCACGGGGGCCTGGACGCCCTTGCCTTCCTCACCTGAGCCACAGGGGGGGCACGTGGGTGGTCAGTAGTGGACCCCACTTCTCCCAACGGGGAGGCTGGGGCAGGAAGGCCCTGCATGTAGAGGCCCTGCTAGGCGGCCATCAGGATGGGGTCAAGGGAAACTCCAGGGACACTCCAGCCCGACCGTGACACGCCACTGTACCTGGGACCTCAGGTTGGGGCTCTGCTGAGGGAGGCAGGAGGAAGCATCGCATGTGGAAGCTGGCCGGCTGCCAACTCCCGGGACAGCCCTGGGTCATTCCTAATTGCTGCGGGCTGACTCACCTCCACGTCAAAGGCCCCGGCCCCAGTTCAGCTATTTAACCTGCTGCGTGGAGCCAGCTCGAATCCACTCCTGGGGCAGCTGAGCCCTGCCCGCCGCCGGCCTGCTGCCACCGGCAGACACCGGCCCGCAGAGCAGCCCCGTGGGCACTGGCTTGCCCCGCGGTCTGCACTCAGGATGCCAGGCCCTGGCGCTCCGGGCCTGGCCCCGGCCCCGGCCCAGCAGGTATGTCTGTGGCAGCACTACCTGCTGGCCATCCGCTCTCGGGAGGCGGCTCGCATCCAGGACTACCAGCGCGCGGAGAACACGCTGCTGGCCGCACTGGAGCGCGTGCACGCCCTGGACCCCCGCTTCCTCGTCGACTATTCCCGCGACCCGGAGGCCCGCCAGTTCGCGCTGCGCTCCTCGGAGGAGCCGCTGGACATGGAGGTACCCCTGCGGGTGGACGCTGAGGGCCTCCTGATTGAGGGCCCGGGAGCCGCCGCGCCGCGGGCTGGCCCCACACTCTGCCGCGTGGGCGTCCCCCGGGGCGTGGCCGGCCTGGAGCCCTGGATGACCGCCGACGTCTTCAGCGCCACCCCGGAGGCCGGCACCAGGTGCTGCGGACACATCGTCCCAAGCAAGGTCCTGCGCGTCCTGAAGGACCTTCTGGTGGCAGCCATTGTGCACTGCAGGCACCAGGGCCTCATCCCGCCAGGTAGCACACGTGCCGGCACACACACACGTGAGCTGTGTGAGCGGGCACCGTGTGTGTGTGTGCTGTGTGGCTGTGTGTCACGTGTATGTGTGCTGTATAGTTGTGTGTGTGCCGTGTGTGGGTGTGTGCTGTGTGGTGTATGCCGTGTGTGTGCTGTGTGGCTCTGTGTCATGTGTATGTGTGCTGTATAGTTGTGTGTGTGCTGTGTGTGGGTGTGTGCTGCGTGGTATGTGCCACGTGGGTATGTGCTGTGTGGGTATATGTGTGTGCGCATGTGCACACACTCTGTGCACAGAGGTGTGCCTGCCCACTGTGTGTGTGCAGGTGTGTGAATGCATAGGGAGTAGCTGTACAAGTGTGTGTGGTGTGGTGTGTGTGTGTGTGTGCATGCGCACTCACAGTGCAAGTGTAAGTGTGTGTGTGGCATGGTGTGGTGTGTGTGTGCATGCGCACTCACAGAGTGCAAGTGTAAGTGTGTGTGTGGATCTGGGTGCACACACATGTGTGTGCACATACAGACGTGTGCATGTGTCTGTTTCGGTGTATGGTATGTTACTAGCAGGTGTCCCGGGGCCAGCAGCCGCCCCTGCGGCCCCCACTTGGCACCTGGCTCTGAGGCCGGGTGCTGGCCTCGTGTCTCCGAGAGGTCTTGTTCATGGGATTGTGGGCCTGGGCCCGGGGGCAGGGAAGTGCTGGAAGGGTGGGTGCAGGCTGTGGGGCCAGGACGGGGGACACAGGACGGAGCCCTTCTTCCCAGTCACAGGGCACCGGGAGGGAGCAGTGTGTCCTGCTTCCGCTGGAGGGGCGGGCGTGGGGCCACGCAGCCGCCACTCCTCCCGGGACTTGCCGTCTCCAGCCACCGTCCTGGTCCTTTCCACCCCTTGGGCGCCATGAGGCAGGGAGCAGGGTGGCCAGCCCCCGCGCCGGTCCGTGACTGCCCACCCGAGTGCGCGGCTCTGCTCTGACTGTACCCACGGTCCTCCGCTGCCAGGCGGACAGGGCTGCTCTGTCCTGGGGTGAGGGAGCCCCAGAGCCACAGTCTGGCACTCAGCACTCAGTCCTGGTACTCTGCTGCTGGTTCCAGGATCTTGCAAGTCCTGGGGCTTCCAGACGGATGGCCAGTACCAGGAGTTGTGTCTGAGGGTCCATGGGTGTCCTGGGCAGGCAGCCGACCTCTGAGCCCGGAGACCATCACCCGCTGGCTTCTGGTGCTCCTCACCCCCTGGGGCACTTATCAATCCAGGCGTCTCTGGAACCTTCTAATTACTGAGCGGGCGTGACAAAGCCATGTCCAGCTTCTTCCTGGCAAACCTGGCTGCTCCCACCTGGCTCTGCATCTGCAGCCCCCAGCTGCCCCCGGGCTGGACCCCTGCTGGGAAAAGCAGTAGGCTTTGCCAGGCTCCAGGCCCCGGAGGCCAACCCAAGCAGGCTGGCAGCCCTCCTCCCCCGCCCTGGGGCCTGACCCCCTCCTTGGCCCCCCCAGCAGCTAGCCCGCTGCCGGGGCAGAGCTGTCTTCAGAAGATTCCGGGCATTGCTGCCAACACCTACCTTAGCAGGGAGGCACGAAACTAGGGTGACTGTGGTCAGCTGATCCCACCTTGGAACCGGTGGGACCAGCTGGGGCTCCGGGGGCCGGGTGAGCACAGCCAGGGCTGGCCACCTTCCAAGTCCTTCCACAGGAGGCAGGAGGCCAGCCAGACCACCGAGGCGCTCTGAACAGAGAGGGGGCAAGGGAGCCCCCGACTGCACAGCCGGGGAAACTGAGGCTCCTGTGGGTTGGAGGGGTACAGGACCCCTTATCCCCCACTGCTAGGGAATCTGAGACTTGTGTGGGAGAGAGAGGCCCAGGAGGTGGCCCCAGAGAAGCTGTGTGGAGACGGCGGAGGAGCTGAGGCTCCACCCCAGGCTCACTGGCTAGGAAGACCCTCATCAGAGCTGCGCTGGAGCCGCTTGGGGCACAGCTGCCACCGTGCTGCGCTGGCCAGGCCCCGCCCTGGCTGGGCAGGGCTGTGGGGAGGAGGGGCCGTTGCCCAGCTGGCCTGTGGGGTGGCTGTGCTTGAGGACGCCTCCACCTGCACGCTGGCACTGTTTTAAAGGAGGGGGACGCTGGGTAGAAGGCCAGAGGGCCCTGGACACTCAGCTCCCAGCCTGCCGTCCCCAGGGCATCTCGTCCTGGGTGGTCTAGGGTCTGCGTTGGAATTTGGGTGCTGGACTGAGTCCTCTCCATCAGAATGCCTCAGAAATCAGGTCACCTTGAGCAAAGTCAAGGTGCAAACAGACGGACGCTGGACACAGCACGCGAGGCGTGTCCACAGTCAGCCTCTGGACCAGGACATCTGGGCAGTGCTGCCCAGGCACCAGGCCCTTCTCTGCACTGTGAGTTGCTTCTCACACGGACCTGTGCTGGGGCCGGGCCTGGCTCTGGCTGTGAGGTCCCGCCATGCGGACGTGAGGTTCTGCCACGCAGGTGTGAGGTCCGGCCACGTGGGTGTGAGGCCCAGCCATGCGGGTGTGAGGCCCGGCCACATGGGTGTGAGGCCCGGCCATGCGGACGTGAGGTTCTGCCACGCGGGTGTGAGGTCCTGCCACGCGGGTGTGAGGCCCAGCCATGCAGGTGTGAGGCCCAGCCATGCGGGTGTGAGGTCCTGCCACTCGGGTGTGAGGTCTTGCCACGTGATGGTGAGGTCCTGCCACGTGGGTGTGAGGCCCGGCCATGTGGGTGTGAGGTTCTGCCACGCGATGGTGAGGCCCGGCCACATGGGTGTGAGGCCTGGCCACGCGGGTGTGGGGTCCTGCCACGTGGGTGTGAGGTCCTGCCACGTGGGTGTGAGGCCCGGCCACGCGGGTGTGAGGCCAGGCCATGCGGGTGTGAGGCCCGGCCACGTGGGTGTGAGGTCCTGCCACGCGATGGTGAGGCCCGGCCACGTGGGTGTGAGGTCCGGCCACGCAGGTGTGAGGCCCGGCCACGTGAGTGTGAGGTCCTGCCACACGGGTGTGAGGTCCTGTCACACGAGCATGAGGTCCTGCCACGCGGGTGTGAGGCCCGGCCACACGGGTGTGAGGTCCTGCCACACGAGCGTGAGGTCTTGCCACGTGGGTGTGAGTTCCTGCCACGTGGGTGTGAGGTCCTGCCACATGAGCGTGAGGTCTTGCCACGTGGGTGTGAGGTCCTGCCACGTGGGTGTGAGGTCCTGCCACGTGGGTGTGAGGTCCTGCCACGTGGGTGTGAGGCCCGGCCACGCGGGTGTGAGGTCCTGCCACATGGGCGTGAGGCCCGGCCACACGGGTGTGAAATCCTGCCACGTATGTGTGAGGCCTGGCCACCCGGGTGTGAGGCCCGGCCATGCAGGTGTGAGGTCCTGCCACATGAGCGTGAGGTCTGGCTGCACACGTGGGTGGCCTCTGAGGGCGCAGTGGGGCTCTCAGGGTGGGGGATGGGTGGCCGCTGGGGTCAGGGAGGCCGGGCCGGACTCTGTCCCCCACTGAGGACAGGGCTGTCACAGCCTTGGGCCCCTCTGGCCGCAGGCTGCCGGGGGGATGTGACCCCATACCCGGCAGAAGCCTGGACCAGCAAAGGCCGTCCTCTGCTGACCCCTTAGTGTGCGAGAGATGGGCGCCGGGGCCCTGCAGCACACCCCACGATTTATCTTGGGGCTCTGGGCTCTGGGGAAGGGCCTGGTCAGTGGGGCAGTGTGCAGACCAGGCCACAGGGTGGTGCTGTGGGAGGGGCCTGCCCGGCGTGGGGGGAGAGGTCTGCTTCACAGAGGCCCAGCTTCAGGACTCAGGACTTGGGGGGCCTCCGTCCACCACTGCCCCTCACAACCTGGGCTCTCCTGGGTGGTGACTGGCTGAGCGTGATGGCGCTGGACCTCAGAGTCTGGTGGGGCAGAGCCCAGAGCGGTGGTGTTGGCACTGGGCAGAGAGGAGGCTTAGGAGGGAAGGTGTGGGCATCACGTGCTGAATAGCGGCTCTGCTGGCAGATGCCCACAGGCTGGCCAGCAGTGGCTGCGTGGCCATGGCTCCTAGATGGGCAGAGGCACCCATGGGCGGGGCACAGGGTGAGAATGAGGGTGGGGTGCAGGGGTGAGGAAGGGGCAGTGTGGGGCGCAGGGGTGAGGCAGGGGCAGTGTGGGGCGCAGGGGTGAGGCAGGGCAGGGTGGGGCGCAGGGGTGAGGCAGGGGTGAGGCAGGGCAGGGTGGGGAGCAGGGGTGAGGCAGGGCAGGGTGGGGAGCAGGGGTGAGGCAGGGCAGGGTGGGGCGCAGGGGTGAGGCAGGGGTGAGGCAGGGGCAGGGTGGGGAGCAGGGGTGAGGCAGGGGTGAGGCAGGGCAGGGTGGGGAGCAGGGGTGAGGCAGGGGCAGGGTGGGGAGCAGGGGTGAGGCAGGGGTGAGGCAGGGCAGGGTGGGGAGCAGGGGTGAGGCAGGGGTGAGGCAGGGCAGGGTGGGGAGCAGGGGTGAGGCAGGGCAGGGTGGGGAGCAGGGGTGAGGCAGGGGTGAGGCAGGGGTGAGGCAGGGCAGGGTGGGGAGCAGGGGTGAGGCAGGGGCAGGGTGGGGTGCAGGGGTGAGGCAGGGGCAGGGTGGGGCGCAGGGGTGAGGCAGGGGCAGGGTGGGGTGCAGGGGTGAGGCAGGGGCAGGGTGGGGAGCAGGGGTGAGGCAGGGCAGGGTGGGGAGCAGGGGTGAGGCAGGGGCAGGGTGGGGTGCAGGGGTGAGGCAGGGCAGGGTGGGGAGCAGGGGTGAGGCAGGGGTGAGGCAGGGCAGGGTGGGGAGCAGGGGTGAGGCAGGGGCAGGGTGGGGAGCAGGGGTGAGGCAGGGTAGGGTGGGGAGCAGGGGTGAGGCAGGGGCAGGGTGGGGAGCAGGGGTGAGTCAGGGCAGGGTGGGGAGCAGGGGTGAGGCAGGGGCAGGGTGGGGAGCAGGGGTGAGGCAGGGTAGGGTGGGGAGCAGGGGTGAGGCAGGGCAGGGTGGGGAGCAGGGGTGAGGCAGGGGTGAGGCAGGGGTGAGGCAGGGGCATGGTGGGGAGCAGGGGTGAGGCAGGGTAGGGTGGGGTGCAGGGGTGAGGCAGGGCAGGGTGGGGTGCAGGGGTGAGGCAGGGTAGGGTGGGGAGCAGGGGTGAGGCAGGGTAGGGTGGGGAGCAGGGGTGAGGCAGGGTAGGGTGGGGTGCAGGGGTGAGGCAGGGCAGGGGTGAGGCAGGGGTGAGGCAGGGTAGGGTGGGGTGCAGGGGTGAGGCAGGGCAGGGTGGGGTGCAGGGGTGAGGCAGGGTAGGGTGGGGAGCAGGGGTGAGGCAGGGCAGGGTGGGGTGCAGGGGTGAGGCAGGGCAGGGTGGGGAGCAGGGGTGAGGCAGGGGCAGGGTAGGGTGCAGGGGTGAGGCATCTGGCCTGGTGTCCCACAGGATCGCTGAGTGTGGCCAGCCTGAAGGACGGTCATCTTCATCTGTCCCTGCTGGTGTCCAGTGGCTGGAGGAGGATCGGCTTCCGCGTCATACCGGTGGTCAGGACGCGGCGTGGGGCCCCCGGGCTGGACGGGGCCCGCTTGGCGTCTGGATTTCCCGAGGGTGCCTGGAGAAGGCTCGTCAGCCACGGGGTGGACCTGGTGCCCGCCAGCGCCCAGCACTGGAGGTAGACGCCACTCCTGGGCTCCGGGGTTCCGGGAGGCGGCAGGGGTGCCTCTGGCCTTCCCTCCCCCAAGGAACGGAGCTGCAGGTGCCCTGCCCCCTCGGCGCCCTGCGGAGGCATTGGGGCATCGGGACTCAGGACCCAGATGGCCTCCTCACAGGGGAGCTCAGCGTCCCCTGGCACAGGTGCAACCTGTCCCCTCCGACACAGGGTGGCAGTGGTGAAGGGCCTGGTGTGGAGGGCCGCAGGGTCGCCCCTGGTGACCCGGCCCGCTTGCCTGGCTCCAAGGGGACAGCAGAGCTGTCCTTGGTCCCCTCGGTCCTGAGCTCCCCTCCCGACTTGCAGCACTCTTCCTGTGAGCCTCGGTCCTGTCACCCCAAGAGTCAGTGTCTCCTAGAGGAAGTGGCTGGGGCTGAGTCCCCTTGAGATCCATACCAAGGGCTAGGGCTGAGCCCTCCGTGCTGGTCTGCCGCCACAAGCCAGGGCCTGCGGCCTGGCCCAGGTGACGGATCGGGTCTGCTCACGCGTCCTGGCGGGCACCCCAGCAGAGCCCCCCACTTCACACGGAACCGGGCTGCGGGACCCCTGCCTGCCCAGGGAGGCAAAGAGGGAGTAACTGCGAGCCAGCCTCGGCCACGGCGCTGTCCCGTGCAGGCCCTGGGTGGTGCGGGGCTGGCTGCCCACGGGAGTGGATGTGCCTCCCCTAGGTCAGCACCGTGTTCGGCGCCCCTGCTCTGGGCACTGGCAGCTGGGCTGGCTGTGGGCTTGTCTTGGCTTTGTCAGTGAGTGCTGGGTGAAGCCAGGGCTCCCTGACTCCTGCCCAGGGTCCAAGTACTGCCACCTGAGCGTGTGGGTCTGAGAGGTGCCGCGTGCCCGGGGCTCCCGCCGCCCCCTCTGTACTCTGCCCAGGAAAACACGTTCACAGCGCCCGGGAGCACGGGGAGGGCTGGGACCAGAGCACAGGCCACGTGCCTCACGGCCGCTGCCCGGGAGCGCGCACTCCCATGGGGCCCCGGGCCTTTGGTAGTGGGGAGCCACAGAAGCAGGGCTCTGCTTTCTCTGGAGGCTCCAGACCTGACCGGTGGGTCCGGCTTCCAGGGTCTCCACCGAGCACCTGCTCACGCGGCTGCTTGGAGAGCTGGGGTCTCTGCGGGGCCACCGGCTGGACAGCCTCTCCATCCTCGACCGGGTGAACCTGGAGAGCTGGAGAGGCGGCGGCCGGAGCCCTGGCCTGACCTTCGACCACCTGAAGGTAAGTGTGAGGGCAGCAGGCACCACCCTGCTCCGCCTCAGCTGCCCGGCCTGTGACCCAGCGGGCCCGGGCCTGTCCCTCACACCACTTACCACCGGCGGGGCAGTCACAGGGGTCCAGATCACTCCCGGGAGGGCCATCCTCCGGCAGGGCAGGCTGGCATTTGCCATTTACAGGCCCTGGGGCAGGTTGGGTTGAGCCCTGTGTGAAAGCAGGCTACCCCTGAGGTGGGCAGGCTGGCGTCCAGCGGACATTCGTGTCTGAGGCGTGCTGGCTCCAGTCCCCAAGCGGAGTGGAGAGGACCTGGGGCCGATGGAGGGAGAAGCTGAGGAGGCAGAATTGTAGCTAAGCAATGGCCAGGGCCCCCGGCAGGAGGAAGGAGGGTCCAATGCCCCAGGGCGGCCCCTGGGGTGGGCTCAAAGCAAGAAGGATCTGATGGAGGGGCAGGGGGCAGGCCCAGAGGAGACGGAGCCTCGAGGACCAGAGAGAGCCATGGGCTTCGCTTGGGGAAGGCAGTGGAAGGGAGTCGGAGGGGATGGAGGAGCAGAGGCCAAGGAGGGTCAGCAGATGGACAGGGCCCAGTGCCTGGGCATGGAGGGAGCAGGCTGGGCACAGATCAGGTGGGCATCCAGTGGGCGGGGCCCGGTTGCCGCCCACGGGCCTGACCGCTGTCCCGTAGACCGTGCTGCTGTGGGCCTCGGCCCTCTTCCCCGCCCCCGAGGACTGGGCGGAGCTGCAGGGGGCTGTGTACCGGCTGCTGGTGGTGCTGCTCTGCTGCCTGGCCACCCGGAGCCTGCCCCACTTCCTCCACCCTGGGAGCAACCTGCTGCAGGCCAGCGGCCTGGACCTCGGCACCCTCTACCAGCACGTGGAGGCCTTTGCCAGCCGGCCCGAGGGGTCCCTGCGTATCCATGCCACTCACCTGGGCCAGGGCCCCCCGCCGCGCCTCTGCCACGGGGTCAAGGAACTTCTGCAGCTGCCTGCCAGTGACCCTTCCTGCTGGACCACCGCCTACTTCGATGTCCTGCTGGACAAGGTAGGGCAGCCAGCAGGGCGGACCCGCCATCAGAGTGGGGAGGGGGTGGGAGTCCCGGCCCGGCACCCCGCCATCCCCAAGGTAGGTCAGGCCTCTGAAGGGAGGAGGAAGGGCGCGGTGGTGCGGTCCATGGGCCGGGCATCAGGGCAGCGTGTCGGAGACCACCACAGATCCCCAAACCACATTCACCAAATGCTCAGACGCTGCCCCAGCCCACCCTCATGGAGGGGCCGCTCCCAACGCCCTGTGCTGCGGGCTCTCAGGACTCCCGCAGCCGTGCATCTAGGACACTGTCCCCTGGCGTGCTTTGGGGTGCCTGGCGGCTCTGCCAGCTGCCCCTGACAAGGCCAGCCCTCGTCCTCCCATACGGCAAACACCACCTCCTCCAGGGACACCTGGTGTTGTCTGGCCAGCTTCTCCTGTCCCAGCGGCATCGAGGCCTGGTGCTTCTCCAGCCTTGCTAGCGAGGTCCGCCTGCCGGCCTCCTGCCCTGCGGCCAGTGGAGAACTGCCCTCCTGTCAGCAGCAAGGCGTGGGGCTGCTCCCCGCTCTCGGCTGACCTGGGTGGGCATGGCTGGGACGGGACACCTTGTGGGGCATCCTCTGTCAGGCCTGTGCTAGGGAAGGTGTGCAAGCTGCTTTGAGAGGGGCGGGGCCCATCCAGGTGGACGCCAGGGTCAGGGGGCCATGTCAGGTGGACACCTGGGGTCGGGGGGCTGCGTTCTGAGTGCAGATGTCTGTGTCAGGGGCTGTGTTCTGGGCACAAATCCCATGTCGGGGGGCTGTGTTCTGGGTGGTGGTCTCTCTTGGCCTGTCCTGGGCGGTGACCTCTCTTGGCTTGCCTCAGTTCCAGGTTTTCAACATCACGGACAAGGACCGCGTCTCCGCCATGCAGAGCGTCTTCCTGAAGTCCAAGGCCCTGGGCGGCAAAGAGAACTGAGCCGGGCCGTTCACCCCGGCTCTCCCTGGGCATCGTGGGCATGTGGAGAAGCTGTGGTGGAGGAACTCTGTCCACAGGACGGCTGTGAGGCCCGAGGGGCTGTCCGCATCTGCTCTGGCAGCTGCCCATCCAGGGGAGGCCTGGGGTGCAGCTGTGTCCGTGGGAGCTGGACCTGGAGGTTGGGCCCTGTGTGCTGCATGGCCCTGCAGACAAAACGCTCTGTCCCATCTCCAATGCAGTAAAGTCCCAGAACACCCAAGGAGCAGCGTCTACCTTCTGTGTGCAGAATCCAAGGGCAGTAGATGCTCATGTGCAGGGGACTGCTCAGACCTCCCGTCCTCTGGGGCGACCGCTCAGACCTCCGTCCTCTGGGGCAACCCTGCTCAGGTGTCCCCACCTCCTCGTTCAGAGGACACTAAAGTGAGCAGAGGGTCCCTGGCCTGTGTAATATGTGATCATATATAATATATACACAGGGGGTTCAACTCAGGGCCTCATGCTAGGCTGGCATTCTACCGCTGGAACCATGCCTCCAGCCCTGTCTTTTTTTATGGTAAATTTGGAGACAGGCAGCTGGCCCTGAATCATGATCCTCAGACGCCAGCCTCCTGAGTAGCTAGGACCGCAGGGGTGAGGCTCCGGCGCCTGGCTCCAGTGAGCATTTTCCCTTCTCCATCATCTTTGCCCCTCATTGACTCCTCAGCCCCCAGGCTACAGCAGTCCCCAGGCTCAGGGGAGGCAGTGGCTCCGTCCTGGAGACCCATGGCCAGCATAGTCAGGCAAGGAAAGCAGGCGCTGGGCAGGGCCTTCCAAGGCAGTGCAAGTACCTGAGCGACATCAACACGAGTCCAGAGATGCCACGGCTGTGAGGGCGCTCAGCCCGCCGGAGTCAGACCGGAGGACCGCGGGAGAGGGCGCTCAGCCCGCCAGAGTCACAGACCGGAGGACCGCGGGAGAGGGCGCTCAGCCCGCCGGAGTCACAGACCGGAGGACCGCAGGAGAGGGCGCTCAGTCCCCCGGAGTCACACAGACTGGAGGACCGCGGGAGAGGGCGCTCAGTCCCCGGGAGTCACACAGACCGGAGGACCAGACTGGAGGACCGCGGGAGAGGGCGCTCAGCCCGCCGGAGTCACAGACCGGAGGACCAGACCGGAGGACCGCGGGAGAGGGCGCTCAGCCTGCCGGAGTCACAGACCAGAGGGCCACGGGAGAGGGCGCTCAGTCCCCGGGAGTCACAGACCAGAGGGCCACGGGAGAGGGCGCTCAGCCCGCCAGAGTCACAGACCAGAGGGCCACGGGAGAGGGCGCTCAGCCCGCCAGAGTCACAGACCAGAGGGCCACGGGAGAGGGCGCTCAGTCCACGGGAGTCACAGACCGGAGGACCGCGGGAGAGGGCACTCAGCCCGCCAGAGTCACAGACCGGAGGACCGCGGGAGAGGGCGCTCAGTCCCCGGGAGTCACAGACCGGAGGGCCACGGGAGAGGGCGCTCAGCCCGCCGGAGTCACAGACCGGAGGACCAGACCGGAGGACCGCGGGAGAGGGCACTCAGCCCGCCGGAGTCACAGACCGGAGGACCGCGGGAGAGGGCGCTCAGTCCCCGGGAGTCACAGACCGGAGGACCGCAGCCCTCTGACCACCTCCTCAGTGCTCAGCATGGCTGAGGATGGACTTCCTGAGCAGAAGTGAGAGTTCTGATGTAGTAAAGGGCAAGAAGCCATCGCTACTCCTCAGCCAAGCAACCTCATCACCTCATCAGGGTGCAGTAGAAGAGCATGAGGTTGGGTCCATAGGCTAGCCCACCAAGCTGAGCCTGGAGGGAATCACAGGTTAGCCCACCAAGCTGAGCCCGGAGGGAATCACAGGCTAGCCCACCAAGCTGAGCCAGACAGGAATCAAGGGGGACCATGGTGGGTAACAGGAGGTGACCCAGATCTAGTGTGTAGAAGATTTGGTGACACTATCATTCAGCTGGCCCTGGACAGTGGCACACACAGACACACTCACCCCAAGTGTGCATAGGGTGGTCAGAAAGAAATCTAGAGAAACTACTAGCAAGAATCACACACACACGCATGCATGCACACACACACACGCACACACACACAGTCTATTTAGAATAAGTGGAAATGAAAATACCTGCTTTTCATGATACTCATTTATAAATATCTAGAGAAGAATGTAGAAAGCAGCTAGGAATAAATCTAACGAAAGGTGCATGCAAGGGCCCTACGCTGAAAACTAGGGACCTTGCTTAAAAACACCTGCATTCATGATTTGGAGTTTTCAATATGTGGTCATTTCCACTGCCCTTATCACATGGAGTTCCAGCAGGGTAGTTCACAGAAGCAGACAAGATGAAGCCAGCCTGCAGGGAAGTTCACAGGACCAGGTTAGGACAGTCTGTGAGGGAGATGATGATTGTGTATTTACACTTCTTCCTCTCAGAACTTCTACATCCGCCACACGCAGGCTTGCACAGGGACAGCATAGGCCTGGAACAGAGCGGAGGGCTAGACACACCACAGCTATTTAGACAATGGATTTCCAACAAGTTGACAGGTCAATTGAGCAGAGAGGTGACTTATGTTTAACAGATGTTGCTAGAACAGCTAAGTGGATATCGCTATGGAAACGTGTACTTTGACCCCGTTGGTACTCCAAGGACAATTAATGCAAGGGAGCACAGATCTGCACCACAACGTAGTGAGGGAAACAGGCAGGTTCTTTGCTATCAGGGATAGGAGGGAGAGGCTTCTGGGCGGAGGTACAGAGAGCGCAGGATATACAAGAAAACCCATGGGTAAAAAAGACTCTGCCCAGAAGTTAGAATGTCTGCCCTTTGGAGACACCATTAGGAAAGTGAATAGTTTTACTACAGAGAGGAGAAAATACTCCAGCCACAGATAACAGATCTAGAATACAGGAAACAACTCTCAGGAACTACCACAACAGGTGAAAATCCAAATAACACGAGCGACATGTTTGCACTGACATGTCTCAGAAGAGAAGCACAAGCAACTGGGAAGGAGCACGTGAAAAGATACTGGACACCACGAGCGACTGGAGAAATGCACACTGGCTGTGTTTACGCCTGCGAGACAAAATCACCGCCCAAACTTCCCCGTGGGGTGCGTGGAATCGGGTCAGCCAGGTCAGCCGAGAAACCCCAATTCACACTCCTCATTGTGACCCAAGGAAAACCAGCACACACAGCCACACAAAGCCTTGAAGCAGGGAGTCGATGGCAGCCCCAAATCATCACGCCTCGAGCTGGGCACTGTCTAGGTGCCTGTCCACCCCAGATGAAGGGACAGACCGGAATGTTCCCCGCAGGACGGGGCCCTGGCAGCAGCAGGACAGGTGGACGGCGCTGTGTGGAGGTCGGAGACGCCGGGGCACTGGAAGCAGCAGAGCCCTTTGCTAGCTCGGAGCTGATGGGGACATGGGGGTCCAGTGGTGGGACTGGCAGGGGCCCCCCTCCAGGGTGAACCCTGGATCCTCTCACACACAGACTGCTTGCACTTGACTTCTAGCCTCCGTGTCTGCTTTTGGGAGACCCAAGCAAGACAGGGCCTTCTTTGGACAAAGGCCAGATTGCGTGAGGCCCCTCTCCAGGAGCCCCTCCCCACCCCGCCCCGGCCCGCCTGCCTGGACCACTGGGACTGGGCCTAGGTGACTCTCAGACCCATCTCTTCTGGTCACGGTGGACCGCTAGTTCAGAGACCAACCTAAGGCCAGGACAGGGATGGAGCCCACCTCCACGCACACATGGGCTGATGTGGACCGGGATCTTTAGGGGCAGAGGGCGGGGGGCCTGGCCATGGGGGGCTGCCCCGGGCACTCCCTGGTACCACGTGGACCAGGAGGCCACCTGGACCGAGCTTTGCGGACCAGAGGAGAGGGGTGAGAGGTCAGTGCAGCAGGGGGGGGTGTCGGGGGCCAGGGGCCCCCTCAGCCGCCCGCTTGAGGACAGGGCCCAGGGCCAGGGCCTGGCGGTCAGCACCTGGCCAGGGCCACGGACTCGCGGTGTCCGTCTGAGTTCCAGGGCTTCCTCAAGGTGGCATGTGAGGATGTGTTTTGTTGGTATGTGTCATCTGGGGACAGAGTGAGGTGACAGTAACCAGTCCTGCGGGAGGATCTCCTGTAGGCTCCCCGAATTGGGCAGGGTACATACAGATCCCCCCAACAGCCCCCGGCACTGTCTACACGAGAGCAGAGGCGATGGCGGACCGGCCCTTTATTGGGTGCTGAGAGGCACCGGTGTCCTGGGAGGACGGGGGCTCCTGCAGGAGGCACTGTGGGCCCTATTCCAGAAGGTTCCACGTGTGGGGAGAGGCTGCCCCGCCCTGCCCTGCCCGCAGTGCCCAGCGGGACGGGGCTCTCCCAGCCCGAGTCTGCGGGCCTCGCGCCGTCCGTGGGCTCCCCGGGGCGTGCTGGGGGTCACAGCTTGCGCTGGGGGCAGTGCCGCAGCGCCTCCCGCAGGGCCTCGGCCACGCGGTCCACGTTCTCCCGGGTGGCGTTGCAGCCCATCAGGCCGATCCGCAGCACCTGGTGGGCGCACGTGGTGGCAGGTGTCAGCCTCTGTCCTGGGCCAGAGGGCAGGGGCGGGGTGGGCCGGGCCGCGGCGGTCAGCCCAGCCGGTGACCGGAGGGGAAGCGGAGAGCCTGGTGCAGGCAGACTCCTGCTGGGTGGGCGGAATCAGGCCTGCGTTTCCAGCCTGGCTGTGGGGAGGACCGCTCCGGTGGGACCGGTGGCTGTCTGACTGTCCATTCTGCAGCTGACCAGGCCCTCTGTGGGCTGGCGCAGACCCGGGCAGAGCTGGCTCACCTTCCCCAGAGAGGGCCCGAGGCCGCCGGTGATCTCGATGCTGTAGTGGTCCATCAAGTAGTCGGTGATGTCCCTCCAGCTGTAGCCGGGGGGCACTGCCACCGTGGTGACCGTGTGGAGCCGGATGGCCTGCAGGAAGTGCCAGCTCAGCCTGGGGCCCTGCCCAGGCCTCCCGCCCCGTCCACCTGCCCCGTCCACCTGCCCTGCCCTGGTTTCAGGCTCTGAGGACAGCAGGTGCCATCTTACTGATGGCTGCCCACAGGGCCCCGGAGGGGGGCCTCTAGCAGTCCTCCTCCCGGGGCTCCAGGAGCCTGGCCCTCCGGCCCCCCCGCAGCTCCCCTGTGACTCCCTGACCCCACCCCTCACCGGGTCCTTCACGAAGAGCTGCAGGCCCAGCTCCTGCAGCTGCGAGTGCAGGTAGGCCGAGGCCAGGCGGTGCTGACTCCAGCAGGTCTCCAGGCCCTGTGGGGAGGCGGGCGCAGCCTGACCCACGGCCGCTCCACCTGGGTCGGCAGTGGACCCCAGCCACCTACCACACCAGAGCCCCGGTTTGGGACCTGGCGGACACTGGGCAGGAGCTGGGAGAGCTCGGGGATGCACACGGACACCTGTGCACAGACACACACACACACACACACACACACACCGTCCAGCATTGTCTAGCCCAGCCCTCACACAGACATGTGCACACACACACACACGCTGTCCAGCTTTGTTTAGCCCAGCCCTCGCACAGACATGTGCACACACACACACACACACACACACACCGTCCAGCATTGTCTAGCCCAGCCCTCACACCGACACATGCACACACACACACACACACACACACACACGCGCACACACACTGTCCAGCATTGTCTAGCCCAGCCCTCACACAGACACATGCACACACACACACACACATACACACACACACACTGTCCAGCATTGTCTAGCTCAGCCCTCACACAGACATGTGCATGCGTGCACACACACACACACGGTCCAGCTTTGTCTAGCCCAGCCCTCACACCGACACATGCACACACACACACACACACACACACACACACACACACACACACACCGTCCAGCGTTGTCTAGCCCAGCCCTCACACAGACACATGCACACACACACACACACACACACACACACGTGCACATACACCGTCCAGCGTTGTCTAGCCCAGCCCTCACACAGACATGTGCACGCGTGCACACACACACACACACACACACACACCGTCCAGCGTTGTCTAGCCCAGCCCTCACACAGACACATGCACACACACACACACACACACACGTGCACATACACCGTCCAGCGTTGTCTAGCCCAGCCCTCACACAGACACATGCACACACACACACACACACACATGCACACACACCATCCAGCATTGTCTAGCCCAGCCCTCACACAGACACACAGACACACACACACACACGTGCACACACACCGTCCAGCGTTGTCTAGCTCAGGCCTCCGCGGAGGCGTGATGCGTGGATGCCAGAGGGGGTACAGTGGCCCCCTCTCGGGGCCTCCCCATCTCCCTGCCCCTTGTGGACTTCAGGACCTGGAGGAAGGTGGGCAGAGCCTCACCAGATTTGGTGTTGGACGTTCTGCTCAGGATGTCCGGCCTCTTGACCTCCTGTTTCTGGGAAGTGGACTTTCCACTGGACACCACCACCACCATAGCCACCACTTACCCGGCCTGGCTTCAAGCTAGCTTCGGCCTGACCTGGGCACTGCCCTGGGCACTGAATACGCCTTTCTGTGCACCCCTCCCTGGCCCTCAGGGATGAGGTGTCTGGATGTCTTTGTCCTCGAATGGAACTGTCCCCAGCAGCAGCACTGGCAAGGGTCTGCAGCAGGGGTGTGGTGGAGGGGGTCACAGCGGAGGGGGGCCAGTGTCTGACGGTGGGTGGGAATGCTTCTAATGAAAGCTGGCGGGCTGTGTCTACCTCTCGGCCCACGTGAAACCTTCAGACATGTTTTGAAACATGGAGCCTGCAGGCCCTCACCAATGCCACCCGTGGACGTGGACCTCACAGCCCCCGAGCTGGGGCCAAGGGATTTCCACTGGTTCTGGGTGCTCAGCCTGCAGTGCTCTCTCAGGCCTCGCTGACCCGGCACGGGCGGTGTGCCCGCCCAGCAGCCCCCACCCCCGCTCGCACGCTTCCTTCCTCAGCGTGGCTCACAGCTCAGGAAGACGGGGCACAGGGTGGGAAGCCCCTGGCACCAGGTCTGATCTGCCCGTCTGCCCTGCTCTGCTCTCCACGCCCAGGGTTTGTCCTTCTGCAAACCAACCAGTCTCCCTGTCTTTGGGGAACCATTTTGTCCCATTAACCCAGCATAGTTTGAGGACACAGAAGGGAAGGAGGCCGGGGAGGGGGAGAGGGGGTACGCTGCCCGCTCCTGCCCCACCCCTGCCCCGCCCCTACCCCATCCCTGCCCCATCCCTGCCCCACCCCTGCCCGCCCCATCCCTGGCCAGGCCCAGACCTGTCTCTGCCCGGTCCCTCCCCCCTGCCCCCCCCCTCGCCCCTGGCCAGGCCCAGGCCCCGCCTTCACCTGCTCTACCACCAGTGCCAGGCTCTCCCTCAGGCAGAACAAGCCAGTGACGGGCATGGTGTGATGGTACCTGGGAGACAGGAGGGGTCCATGTCTGTGCCGCGTGTGCGGGGTGACAGACCACGCTGTCCCGCCCAGCAGTGCAGTTCTGGCCTCGGCCAGCTCCTCCCCAGGTGCCCTGTCTAGTGTCAGGGTCCCACGCCCAGGGCAGGGCCGCTCCTCGCTGGGGAGGGAAGGCCCATGCGGGGCCCGCACAGGAGAGCTCAGAGCTGACCCCCAACAGCCCAAGTCCCCGAGCAGCCCACGTGCACGGACTCTGTGCGCTAGGCTGGGGCCCCTGGGGGACACATGGGGCTTTGTGATGAGTTAGGTTGCCTCACAGATCCCTGATTTACTTTCTCCTGAGCGAGACCTGCAAGGGAAGATGTAGCAAACCCAGGTGCAAAGGGCCCATGGAGGACAGGGCTGTGGCAGGGCCGGTGGGGGCTCCTCGCGGGACCTGGGCCTCCAGGTCAGGTGACAGATGGAGCCAGGGATGGCGGTTATAGGAGGAACCCAGGGTGGGGGCAGAAAGGGGGGAGCCAAGCCTGCTGACAGACGGTCACGAGGCTAACGTGGCCCCCACCCCATCCCACCCGCTCCCACCTCCCCTGCCTCCCATCCCCCCCACCTCCCCTGCCTCCCATCCCCCCCACCTCCCCTGCCTCCCATCCCCCCTCCCACCTCCCCTGCCTCCCATCCCCCCCACCTCCCCTGCCTCCCATCCCCCCTCCCACCTCCCCTGCCTCCCATCCCCCCTCCCACCTCCCCTGCCTCCCATTCCCCCTCCCACCTCCCCTGCCTCCCATCCCACCCCCACCTCCCCTGCCTCCCATCCCCCCTCCGACCCACCTCCCCTGCCTCCCACCTCCCCTGCCTCCCAGCCCCCTCCCACCTCCCCTGCCTCCCATCCCCCCATCCCACCCACCTCCCCTGCCTCCCATCCCACCCCCTCCCACCTCCCCTGCCTCCCATCCCCCCTCCCACCCCCCATCCCACCCTCACCCCCCTCCCCTGCCTCCCATCCCACCCCCTCCCAGCCCCCTCCCCTGCCTCCCATCCTCCCTCCCAGCCCTCTCCCTCTCCCCTGCTCACATCCTAGGTTTATCATCACAGCCCCACAGGTTGGCCAGACACATGATGTCCATGTAGAAGGAGAAGGGCTTGGTCTTCCGGGCAGAGACCTTGCACCTGGTGGGGGGGAGGGTAGGGAAACGGGGTGAAACTGTCCAAGGGCGCAGCTCAGCCTTCGGGGCTGTCCTGCGTTACAGGCTCCAGGCTGGCCCCTCCAGAGGCTGGTCCTGGCTCATCCCACAAGCCACCCCGGTGACCACCTTCTACAGTCCAAAGGGTCTGCTGCATTGGTCACATCAACCCACCCGAGGGAAACCGAGGTTCGGTCTGGAAGGCCTATCGCCCATCACCCAGCCTCCCTCTGACCCCACCCAGGCTGGTTCAGGGTCGGGACTCGGCCCTGTGGTGACAGTGGCACTGTAGAGTGGAGGGCTCTGTGCCAATTCCAGGAGGCGGAGCAGGGGCCAGGGTGGCGCTGACCCAGAGGTCCCACCCATGCCCTCTGGCCTGGCCGCTCACTTGGCCTTGCTGCTGAAGGAGATGAGGGAGAGCCCTGGGGGGCCATTCAGGACCTTCTGGGAGCCGGAATACAGAACATCAATGCCTGGGACAGAGGGAAGGTACTCATGGAGACAGGGGAGGTGATCATGGGGAGGTGATCATGGGGTCAGGGGAGGTGATCATGGGGTCAGGGGAGGTGATCATGGGGTCAGGGGAGGTGATCATGGGGAGGTGATCATGGGGTCAGGGGAGGTGATCATGGGGTCAGGGGAGGTGATCATGGGGAGGTGATCATGGGGTCAAGGGAGGTGATCATGGGGAGGTGATCATGGGGAGGTGATCATGGGGAGGTGATCATGGGGAGGTGATCATGGGGAGGTGATCATGGGATCAGGGGAGGTGATCATGGGGAGGTGATCATGGGGTCAGGGGAGGTGATCATGGGGTCAGGGGAGGTGATCATGGGGAGGTGATCATGGGGTCAGGGGAGGTGATCATGGGGTCAGGGGAGGTGATCATGGGGTCAGGGGAGGTGAACATGGGGTCAGGAGAGGTGATCATGGGGTCAGGGGAGGTGATCATGGGGAGGTGATCATGGGGTCAGGGGAGGTGATCATGGGGTCAGGGGAGGTGATCATGGGGAGGTGATCATGGGGTCAGGGGAGGTGATCATGGGGAGGTGATCATGGGGTCAGGGGAGGTGATCATGGGGAGGTGATCATGGGGAGGTGATCATGGGGTCAGGGGAGGTGATCGTGGGGAGGTGATCATGGGGTCAGGGGAGGTGATCATGGGGTCAGGGGAGGTGATCATGGGGTCAGGGGAGGTGATCATGGGGTCAGGGGAGGTGATCATGGGGAGGTGATCATGGGGTCAGGGGAGGTGATCATGGGGAGGTGATCATGGGGTCAGGGGAGGTGATCATGGGGTCAGGGGAGGTGATCATGGGGTCAGGGGAGGTGATCATGGGGTCAGGGGAGGTGATCATGGGGACAGGGGAGGTGATCATGGGGACAGGGGAGGTGATCATGGAGCAGAGGCAGGGCTCGGGTGCAGGCGGTGGGGCAGGGCTTGGGTACAGGGGTGTGTGGCAGGGCTTGGATGCAGGGGGGTGGGGCAGGGCTCAGGTGCAGGGTGGGGGTGGGGACAGGGCTTGGGTACAGGCCCCCCCTACCTTGCTGGTCCATGTAGATGGGGACCCCACCAAGGGATGCCACAGCATCCACAAGGAGCAGGCATTGGTACCTGAGAAGATATGGGTGGCTGAAGGCAGCAAGGAAGGGAGAGAGTGTAGCTCCCTCCTCCACAGAGCAGCTCTGTCCAAATGTTGTCAGAGTCTTCCTTCTTGGCTGGGCTCCCCAAGCCCCAGGCAGCTGTGGGCCTGGACTAGTGTGAGCAGATGTAGTACTGAGCAGCTGGGGGCCTGGACTAGTGTGGGCAGGTGTGGTACTGAGCAGCTGTGACCTGGACTAGTGTGGGCAGGTGTGGTACTGAGCAGCTGTGGACCTGGACTAGTGTGAGCAAGGTGGTACTGAGCAGCTGTGGTCCTGGACTAGTGTGGTACTGAGCAGCTGTGGACCTGGACTAGTGTGAGCAGGTGTGGTACTGAGCAGCTGTGGACCTAGATTAGTGTGGTACTGAGCAGCTGTGGACCTAGATTAGTGTGCTACTGAGCAGCTGTGGACCTAGATTAGTGCGATACTGAGCAGCTGTGGATCTAGACTAGTGTGGTACTGAGCAGCTGTGGACCTGGACTAGTGTGGTACTGAGCAGCTGTGGACCTGGACTAGTGTGGTACTGAGCAGCTGTGGATCTAGATTAGTGTGGTACTGAGCAGCTGTGGACCTGGACTAGTGTGGGCAGGTGTGGTATTGAGCAGCTGTGGACCTGGACTAGTGTGGTACTGAGCAGCTGTGGACCTAGATTAGTGTGGTACTGAGCAGCTGTAGACCTGGACTAGTGTGGGCAGGTATGGTACTGAGCAGGCGTGGGTACTGTGCAGGTGTGGGTACTGTGGAGGTGTGGATACTGGGCAGGCGTAGGTACTGGGCAGGTATGGGTACTGAGCAGGTGTGGGTACTGAGCGGGTGTGGGTACTGGGCAGGTGTGGGTACTGAGCAGGTGTGAGTACTGAGCAGGTGTGGTACTGGGCAGGCGTGGGTACTGAGCAGGCATGGGTACTGAGCAGGCATGGATACTGGGCAGTGTGGGTACTGAGAAGGCATGGGTACTGTGCAGGCGTGGGTACTGAGAAGGCATGGGTACTGGGCAGGTGTGGGTACTGAGCAGGTGTGGGTACTGAGCAGGTGTGGGTACTGGGCAGGTGTGGGTACTGAGCAGGTGTGGATACTGAGCCAGTGTGGGTACTGGGCAGGTGTGGGTACTGAGAGGGTGTGGGTACTGAGCAGGTGTGGGTACTGAGCAGGTGTGGGTACTGGGCAGGTGTGGGTACTGAGCAGGTGTGGATACTGGGAAGGTGTGGGTACTGAGCAGGTGTGGGTACTGAGCAGGTGTGGGTACTGAGCGGGTGTGGGTACTGAGCGGGTGTGGGTACTGGGCAGGTGTGGGTACTGGGCAGGTGTGGATACTGGGCAGGTGTGGGGACTGAGCAGGTGTGGTACTGGGCAGGTGTGGGGACTGAGCAGGTGTGGATACTAAGGAGGTGTGGGTACTGAGCGGGTGTGGGTACTGGGCAGTCGTGGGTACTGGGCAGGTATGGGTACTGAGCAGGTGTGGGTACTGAGCGGGTGTGGGTACTGGGCAGTCGTGGGTACTGGACAGGTGTGGGTACTGGGCAGTGTGGGTACTGGGCAGGTGTGGGTACTGGGCAGGCGTGGGTACTGGGCAGGTGTGGGTACTGAGCAGGTGTGGGTACTGGGCAGGTATGGGTACTGGGCAGGCGTGGGTACTGGGCAGGTGTGGGTACTGAGCAGGCGTGGGTACTGGGCAGGTGTGGGTAGTGGGCAGGCATGGATACTGGGCAGTGTGGGTACTGAGAAGGCGTGGGTACTGGGCAGTGTGGGTACTGAGAAGGCATGGGTACTGGGCAGTGTGGGTACTGAGCAGGTATGGGTACTGGACAGCATGGGTACTGAGAAGGCATGGGTACTGGGCAGCATGGGTACTGAGAAGGCATGGGTACTGGGCAGTGTGGGTACTGAGAAGGCATGGGTACTGGGCAGTGTGGGTACTGGGAAGGTATGGGTACTGGGCAGTGTGGATACTGGGCAGCATGGGTACTGGGCAGGTGTGAGTACTGGGCAGTGTGGGTACTGAGCAGGTGTGGGTACTGGGCAGCATGGGTACTGGGAAGGTATGGGTACTGGGCAGTGTGGGTACTGAGAAGCTGTGGGTACTGGGCAGGTGTGAGTACTGGGCAGGCGTGGGTACTGAGCAGGTGTGAGTACTGGGGCTTCCAAGGTGTCACAATCCCCGTTTCCCCCTGGAGGCCAGTCTGGGAGCTTGGGTGTTGGTGTCCTGGTAGCACAGAGCCAGCAGCCATGGGCCACCTGGCAGGAAGTAGAGGCAGGAGAGGACGAGGACCCACAGGAACCTGCCCTCCTCTGCCTCGATACTGGCGCCTGCTGGGGAGGGGTCAGAAGTCCGACTGGGCCTGTGGTGGGCCATGGGTGGGTCCCTCGGCGGGGCTCTGCCATGGCTACCCTCCCTGGCCACGGAGCTTCTCTCTGGTCCTGTGGTCAGCTGTACTGGCTGTGCTGGGTCACAGGGACCGTCACAGGGAGGGTCCCCAGAGCCCCCACCCAGGGCGGAGCTGGAGGAGGGCCCAGAGGGCAGGGCCGCTCCGGAGGCCACTGCAGGCCCTGAGGTGAACACAGCAGGCGGTGCCTGGTCATGGACCTGCGGGTGTGGACCACCCGGTCCTGTCCCCAGGCACGGGGGGAGGGGGGGAGAGGAGGGGGGGCGGCTTCCTCTTCAAGTGGGAGGGGCTGACTCCAGCTCAGGCCCGGTGACAGAGGCCGGGCGGGTGGGGCCAGGAGGCAGCTGGGCCCCCTGCTCCCTCACTGGGCAGGAGAGGTCTGTGCGGCTCCACACCGCCCAGGGCGGGACTCACCGGTGGCAGAGCTCTCCGAAGCCGTCCAGGGGCTGCATCACCCCGCTGGATGACTCCCCGTGGGTGAGGAACAGCAGCACCGGCCTGTGCTGGGCCAGGCCCTGAGGGGCAGACGGCCGGACGTGGGTCCCCCGCCCCGTCCGCTGCCCCAGGCTGGCCCGAGGGTCCAGCGTGAGCGGGAGGCGCTCAGAGCCTGTGGCGGTGCGGGCTGTCCCGGGACAGCTGGTGTGCCCCGCCCGGGAGGGGGCTTTTGCCAAGAAGGATCGGACAGGAAAGTGCTGCCCGGGCCCACGGCTCCGGGAGGGGGGCTGCCAGGTCCCCTGCCGGGCACCAGAATGTCCTCCTATGGCCAGTCCTAGATGCTGGAGAGGGCTGTGGGCCCCCCCAGCCTCACCCCTGTGGGATTGTCGCCCCCCCCCCCCCCCGCTTGGGGCATACCTCCTCCACCTCCTGCAGTGTGTAGCAGTCTCCGGGCTCCTTGAGCAACGGATGCACCATGGCTCCTGGGGAGAGAGTTTTCCCCTTAAAACTGTGCAGACTGGAGGAGGCTGGCCAAGGAGAGGAGCCCCCCCGAGCCGGTCAGTGCTCACTCCCAGCCGGCCAGCAGTCCACCCCCAGCCAGCAGTCCACCCCCAGCCGGCAGTCCACCCCCCAGCCGGCAGTCCACCCCCCAGCCGGCAGTCCACCCTCCAGCCGGTCAGTGCTCCCCCCAACCCGGCCAGCAGTCCACCCCCAGCCAGCCAGCAGTCCACCCCCAGCCGGCCAGCAGTCCACCCCCCAGACGCAGTCCACCCCCCAGCCTGCCAGCGCTCCACCCCCAGCCGGCCAGCAGTCCATCCCCAGCTGGCCAGCAGTCCATCCCCAGCCAGCTGGCAGTCCACCCCCAGCAGGCCAGCAGTCCACCCCCAGCTGGCCAGTGCTCCCCCCCCCCCAGCCAGCAGTCCACCCCCCAGCAGGCCGGCAGTCCACCCCCAGCCGGCCAGCGCTCCCCCCCCAGCCGGCCAGCTCTCCACCCCCCAGCCGGCCAGCGCTCCCCCCAGCCAGCTGGCCAGCTCTCCCCCCCCAAGCCGGCCAGCGCTCCCCCCCCAGCTGGCCAGCGCTCCCCCCCCAGCCGGCCAGTGCTCCCCCCAGCCAGGGCTCCCCCCCCAGCCAGCCAGAGCTCCCCCCCCACCCTGCAGCTGGCCAGCCAGCGCTCCCCCCCAGCCGGCCAGCGCTCCCCTCAGCCCCAGCCAGCGCTCCCCCCCAGCCGGCCAGCGCTCTCCCCCCCAGCCGGCCAGCGCTCCCCCCAGCCAGCGCTCCCCCCCCCCAGCTGGCCAGAGCTCCCCTCCCCCTGCAGCTGGCCAGCCAGCGCTCCCCCCCAGCCGGCCAGCGCTCCCTCCAGCCAGTGCTCCCCCCCCCCAGCCGGCCAGAGCTCCCCCCCCCCCTGCAGCTGGCCAGCCAGTGCTCCCCCCCAGCCGGCCAGCGCTCCCTCCAGCCAGTGCTCCCCCCCCCAGCCGGCCAGAGCTCCCCCCCCCTGCAGCTGGCCAGCCAGCGCTCCCCCCCAGCCGGCCAGAGCTCCCCCCCCAGCCGGCCAGCGCTCCCCCCAGCCAGCGCTTCCCCCCCCAGCTGGCCAGAGCTCCCCCCAGCCAGCGCTCCCCCCCCCCCAGCTGGCCAGAGCTCCCCTCCCCCTGCAGCTGGCCAGCCAGCGCTCCCCCCTAGCCGGCCAGCGCTCCCTCCAGCCAGCGCTCCCCAGAGCCAGCGCTCCCCCCCAACCCTGCAGCTGGCCAGCGCTCCCCCCCCCAGCCGGCCAGCGCTCCCCCTCAGCCAGCGCTCTCCCCCAGCCAGCCAGCGCTCCACCCCAGCGTGGCACTTGGGATGGTGGCAGGCAGTCCTCAAAGCCACCGTGGGCTGCCAGTCTGGTAGCTGTCCTCCCCAGGGAACCCTGTTGGGTTACCGTGTCCATGCCCGCCACTGGGGCGGGTGCATGGCTCTGGGATTTCGAGAAGGACCAGCCCCTGGGATCCTGTCCTGTCCTGTGGCTCAGCCGCGCCTGGCTCCCCAGACGAGGGGCCCTTCCCACACCCCTTCCCTCTCTCAGAAATAGCTATCCTGAATTCCCGGAGCCCAGGGGGAACAGAGGGCTGCTGTACTCTGCCATATGGAGCTGGCCCATTGGGGTCCAGGTCCCCTGGAGCCCTAACACCTGCCCAGAGGGGGTGGAGGGGGTGGGATGGGGGGCTGAGGGGCTCAGTGGGCTGGGGGTGGGGTGCTGGAGGACACAGGGGCACCGCTGGGACGGACAGAGTGAGAGACACCTATGTCCCAGAAGGCCATGCAGGCCACACACAGCCCGTCTCCCTTACCAATGCGCTCTCCAATCTCTGCAGCTCGCTGACCCCAGATGCCGTTCACCCCAACCAGGAAAGAGTCCCCAGGCTCCAGGAGGTTGAACAGGGCGGTCTCCAGGGCGCAGTGTCCGGACCCGCTGACCGCCAGCGTGAGGGCATTCTTGGTCTGGAGCACATACTGGATGCCCTGTTTGATGTCGTCCATGATCTAGGAGGTGGGCATGGGAATCAGAGCTGCTGCCCGGCCCTGCCCCGCTGTGGGCACCCCCAGTGGGGGCCCACCCGCCTGAGAGACTTACCTGGAACATCTCCTTGTGCATGTGGCCGATCACGGGCAGTCGGCCAGCCGCCTGGACCCGAGGCTGCAGGTTAGAGGGGCCTGGCCCCAGCAGAAGCCGGCTGGGGACGTGGAGCGGTCTGCGGAGGGCGTCAGGGGGCTGCACCAGCAGCGGATGGGAGGCCATGCTGCAATCCAGCCAGCTGTGCGGGGCCCAGGGCACACTGGCCTTGGTCAGTGCCCGGAGCGTTCCCAGCGGGCCCTGCGCTGGACTCAGAGGCCAGGCCTGGTGGATAGGGCCCTGCCCACGGGTCATTTAAACCCCCATCCATGTTTATCCTGCTACCAGAATGCACGGCCCAGATATCGAGCCTCACCTCGGGGAGCGGAGCCTTTGGACTCCGGTCAAAGATAAACAGCGTGGAGAGGCGTCCACTTGCTCCTCCCAGCCTTGGCCGCAGCCAGTGGCCTGCTGGACTGCAGTGTGAAAGGTGCTTCTGAAAGGGTCTCGGACTGATCGGATACGTTGTCCAGGGCCCCTTGTGCTTTTTCTGACTAAATATTCAACTCTGTCCTACCTCCGAGTTGTTACATTTCACAGCACACTTTAAGTACAGCGGTTTGCCCGCAGAGGCCTGCACCGTGAACCGGGCACTCACAGCCTGAAGAGGCACCGTCATTACAAAGATGCTGCTTTACACTCATGCCGTCGTCCCTCAAACACCTTCCAGCTTTGTGAGACGCTGCTTCTTCATCTGCCCGGGCATCCGCACCCGTCTTTCGGGGCCTTCAGTCCTGTCGGCTTTGTTTCGCTCTGGGAAACACGTGATTGGGTGAACTCTCTGGCTGTCAGGTCCACATTCCCCGCGCTCGGTGCTGACAGCTTGGTCCCTGCTCTGCCATGCTGGCATGCTGTTTGTTAGCCTGTTTTGTTTATTCACCATCACCATCGACAATCCTTTGTACTGGTCACGTGGGAACAAATGGTCATGAATGAAACAGAAAGCACGCAGACTCAGGGAGACCACAGGACCAGGGAGAGCAGCCCCCAGGACACCCAAGGCCACGTGGACGGGCAGGACTGGGCCAAGGTCTGCCCAGGCGGTGCCCGTCCGTGTGAAGCTGAGGCCCATCGAGTCTTGGACGCCACCAGCCGAGAGGCCAGTGGATCACAGACACAGAGGCCAGGGAGACGCCGCCCGCCGGGCCTGGGTGGTAAACGGGCTCCATCATCACAAATCCACACGCTGAAGCCCAGCTCCAGGACCTAAGAACAAGGCTGCCTGTGGAGACGCTGAGGAGGCGGCGATCAGGTTAAACAAGATCAGGAGGGCAGTTTCTAACCCGGTGTGGCTGGGACCCGGCCTTGGACAGCGGGGTGGCTACGGAAGGAGGCTGGAGAACCCCCTTCTCCAGGGGGGTCGTAGAGCCCCCCCGCTCTACAACCGAGGAGGGAGGCCCTGGAGAGGCCACTCCCCATCCTGTCTCTGCCATCCTGCCCTGGGTAGAGGAGGGAGGAGAAACCCGTGTCCTCTGCCAGCCCGCCCCACCACAGGGCAGTTCAGTCCCAGGCTGCTTGAACAGACGGGCCATGGGGGGTTACCGGGGCGTGGGTCTGAGGAACCCCCCCACCCCGCCCCCGGGGAGGGGACGCAGTCAGGCTCGGACTCCCCAGCTCCCTCCACCCGCACTGCGTGGGAGCTAGCGCCACCTCGTGGCTGCAGGGCTGCCCCAGTTCACTCGGAGGAGCAGAATCTACTCTTCCTCCAGGCAGTGGGCTGGGCGGGCATCGAGTGAATGCTGTGGCTCAAGGTTCTAAGTTCTCGTCCATGGCGGCTGGGCCGTCATCCGCAGGCCGGGGTGGGCCGAGGTGGGAGGCTGTGTGGAGAGACTGGGCCCCACCCCGAAAGTGCCGCCCGTGACTCTCGGCCAGTGATTAGACCACCGGCGCCCTCCCGCTGGCTGCACCGCCTGGGGACCAGGCCCGGGGACGGGGGCACTTCATGCCCAGAAGGATGGAGACGACAGAACCCAGACCCTGCCCAGGGAAGGACGCCATGGGCGGCCAACTCTGCCTGGGCCCGGGAGATCGCTGCTGAGGAGTTCGGAGCCTGGTGGCCGTGACCTCCAGCGAGCAGGCCAGGCCGGGGCAGGCAGGGGCACACCCGCCAGGGGAGGCCGTGGGGAGAGTCAGCCTCAGGGGAGCCTGCCAGACCTGGATTTGCAAATGGAAGCTTCCGGAGCAGGGGAAGTGGGGGCTGTGGCCCCGTGGCTGTGGTTGCTCCAGGCCCTGGGCTCTGGGCTGGGGCAGCAGCAGGGCCAGGCTAGGACCCAGGCCTCGGCCTGGAAGCAGGGTCCAGGCAGCGGCTTGGAGGAGGACTGACCCTGTCCCACAGGAATGAATTAGAGGCACCCAGGGGCCCTGGGGCTCAGGGCTCAGATGGAGGTTTGGACAGAGAGCCTGTGGGGCTCAGACCCCCCTAATGACCCAGCCACGCTGCCTTCATTCAATCTTCCAGCCCAGTGCTCTGAGGATCCTCCACCCCCATCCCTCCTCCTCCATTCCCCTCACCCCTCATCCCCACACCCAACCCTCACCCCCACACCCACCCTTCACCCCCACACCCACCCGTCACCCCACACACACCCCTCACCCCACACCCACCCCTCACCCCCACACCCACCCCTCACCCCACACACACCCCTCACCCCACACCCACCCCTCACCCCACACACACCCCTCACCCCCACACCCACCCCTCATCCCCCACCCCTCATCCCCCGCCCCTCATCCCCCGCCCCTCATCCCCCGCCCCTCATCCCCCGCCCCTCATCCCCCGCCCCTCATCCCCCGCCCCTCATCCCCCGCCCCTCATCCCCCGCCCCTCATCCTGACTCCCACCCCTCATCCCCCACCCCTCATCCCCCACCCCTCATCCCCCACCCCTCATCCCCCACCCCTCATCCCCCACCCCTCATCCCCCACCCCTCATCCCCCACCCCTCATCCCCCGCCCCTCATCCTGACTCCCACCCCTCATCCCCCGCCCCTCATCCCCCACCCCTCATCCCCCGCCCCTCATCCCCCGCCCCTCATCCCCCACCCCTCATCCCCCACCCCTCATCCCCCACCCCTCATCCCCCACCCCTCATCCCCCACCCCTCATCCCCCGCCCCTCATCCTGACTCCCACCCCTCATCCCCCACCCCTCATCCCCCACCCCTCATCCTCCATCCCACCCCTCACCCCTCTATGCAGGGAGGACCGTGGTCTAGTCCTGCAAGGGGGACACAGCCTAGTGCTATGGGGAGGACCCCAGGTCGCCCTGCTGTTGCAGCTCCCCGGAGCTGGTCCAGGTGAGCAGAGGCTTTGATCCCCAACTCCCTCCTCAAGGTCAGCCCCTCTGCTGCCAAGATCTAAGAAAGGATTCCATTCCAGCCGCATCTGCTGCCAGCCTGGTCTGCAGTGTCCCCTCGACCTGGGCCGCCTCCAGAGCTGTCATCCGGGGCCTCAGATGGAGCTCGAGAGGCTGAGGGGTGGGAGCCTGGTCCCGGAGAGGCTCCCGGGTTACACATGGGGAAACTGAGGCAGGAGAGAAGCCGTCCCCAGAGCCAGGCGTGGGGCCCAGTGGGGCCCTCCGGTGACGGGACCAGGGAGCCGCTCCCGGCATCCTGCCTGCCTGAGCCGGGACACTGGAGCTGCCTAAGGAGGCGGACGGCAGCCTGCTGTAGATGGTGCTGTGTCCCCAGCTGCCACTCAAGCCCTGCTCAGAGGCCCAGGGCTCATCCTCACCAGCTTAGGCTCCAACGCAGGCTCCGGAGGCTCTGGGGCACATTGAGCCTCTTGGTGGCTGGGCCCCGGGCACCTCAGCGACTCCTAGACCCTCTGCTGGGGCCTGTTCCCCATTTGCAGGTGGGAGGCAGGCCCGGCCCCAGCACTGTCCTGTCAGCCATGACAGAGTAGCGTGTGGCTTCTGATGTACTTATGGTAACACTGATTCTGTCCTTTTTAGAACTGTGGTGCTGTGGCTGTAGTACCCTCCATGACGGGTTTAATGAGAGTTGCTTTGAAGTATTTTGACAGGTTTCAAGACTCATGTGTCCAGCCCCAGATTTAGCAAATGTTCATATTTTCCTAACTTTTGCATGAGGCCTCGATTTCAAAATGTTGCAGAGGATCTGTGTAATCAACACCGTGGAGTCTGCACAGGGAAGGACGAAGGGATCGATGGACAGACGGAGCGTAAGCAGACCCCACGCAGCAAGCAGAGCCTTCGACAGGGAGCGGAGAGGCCACTGCAGAGCGGAGAGCTGCCACAGCCAGCCTGGGCTCACGCAGGGGACACAGAGGACAACATGGTGTCGAGGACAGCTTGTGGACAGGGACTTCTGAGGACCTGAAAGCATGGCCGTAAGAGAAAAATTTGGAAACTTGCTCATCAAAAACAACATTAAGGGGCTGGGAATGTGGAGTGCTTGCCTCATACGCATGAATCCCTGGGTTCGATTCTTCAGTACCACCTAAACGGAAAAAGGCAGAAGTGGTGCTGTGGCTCACATGGTAGCGTGCTAGCCTTGAGCAAACGCAGCTCAGGACAGTGCCCAGGCCCTGAGCTCCAAGACTGGCGAGAGAGAGAGAGAGAGAGAAACTAAGCAAGCTGCATGCTGGTAAAAAATATTCCTAGCACACACAGTGCGTCTCTCCGGGCTGCTTGGGTTCCGGGTTTAGGAGCTCAGTGCGCTTCATTTTCCTATTCTTCTACTGACCGGCACCTAGGCGGCTTCCAATTCGGGGACGTTAAACAGTCCGCAATGTCCATGTGAGCGCGTCTCCTCTGGTCTTGTGCCACTGACGTGGAGGGCTGCATGCATGGGCCTTCCTCTTCTTTAAGGGATCAGTGGGGTCTACCTCGCGGGCAGCAGCCAGCCCGCCTGCTGGGCCGGATGGGAATGCCCACAGCTCCAGAGGCCGAGAGAGAACAGCGGCAGGACCCAGGCTTGGCCTGCGCGTGAGCGCCTCGCCCGCGCCGCCCGGTCCTCTGCCCCTGGCCTCTTCGCGTGCACTCCCTGCAGGTTCCTGCTCACAGCGGAACGTGTCCCGGTTCTCTGCTGTCCGGCCACATTTCTAATATTTCTTATTTGTCTCTTAAATTTCCTAAGTAGTGAAACTATCTTATCTTAAAATAGCAGTTACGTTTCTTTCCTTCCAATGTTTCCGTCTAGCACATTTCTCTTCCTTCGCTTTGAGAAGTGCCATAGAAATATTGAATATGAGCAGCAAAGCTAGCAAACAAGAGATTCCTTTCCACTTTATAGGAAACCTATCGAGTGCTCATTCA